TGGAGACTTTGAAAGTCCTTCTTTGGAGTTATGTGGTGGGATTGTAGAGTTGAGCGCACAAAAAACAAGTTGCAAGGCAAACATGTTTACATCCATGGGGCAATCCCCTGGACAATGGACTACAAAGGGGTACAAGGGTGACAAAGACCACTGGCTAAATTGGCAAGGGCCAACAAGCAAACAGGTGTGCAGAAAAACAGGTCAGCATCCTGGAAAATAATCTTCTTGCATCATTCCAACATAACTCAAAGGTGACAGAGGACAAATACTGACACATGAAAAGAATGGTAAGGGCCAACTTCAAGTTTTCTACTAACTTTTCACTTGCAAGTCGTATGGAGACTGCAACTAATCCTCTCACGTACAGAGTCGCACCAGACAATGACAAATCAGAAGAGTCAGAAGCAGGCGCAAAAATAAAATCTAGGGGGCTGACATTGCAGCAGATTGAGAGTGGACCAGGCCTGGCAAATCAGGTGTGCGAGCTGAATCTCGATACAGAGATTTCTAGAGTCTGAAATTGTTGGCACCTCTCAATTTACCCAGGAAATGGAAAACGATGCGAAAATATTGAAATCTTGGCACCCCCATTTCATTAGCACTTTGGAGGCTAAAATGGGGTTGGCCCCCAGGGGTCCTAGGTGATTTGGTATGCCCAGACGGCTCTGTATAATCTGACTCAAAAGTCGCAGTGTTTCACCTGCACATGTCTTCGAACTTCCTGCCTCTCACATGTCGATCCTTTTCCCAGTCACTGGACCGCGGGGTTCCGCAGGAGCGCTTCGCGGGTCGCCTCCCGCCCTGCAGCGGCGGGAAGGGCTCGCTCGAGGCCAAGGTGACGCTGGGCAAGGCGTGGGTCTGTGGGGAGCTGCCCCACAGCATGCAGCGCTGGGCGTTCGGGTTGGATGGTTCAAGGTAGGTGAATCCCTGTATTTTTGGGGTTTTCAGAAAGGGTGGGTGCCTTCGTGCTGAAGCGGACCGCTGGGATCGGAGTCTCCCTTGACTTCAGTCTCCGCTGGGAAGGGAATCGCTGGGAACGGATCACCTCTTCCGAAAGCATCGAGGCATCAGTGGATGATCCGAGGTACCTTTTGGGGGTTTCCGAGCCCACGCGGTGCCATTGGGTGTCATTCTACCGGTAGGAAGCCTTCCTGTCGCAGGAAGTCATGGGTCGGACACCCCAAGCTTTCTAGCCAAGGGGTGGTGAAGCATCGTGGTGTTCCACAACCCAATAGGCAACTGCGGACATGTCATTCATGGACTAGACTAAACATTCTCAGGTCTTCGAGTTCGATTCTCAGGTCTTCGAGTCTGGGTCACTTGGCTTTAGCAGGTCACTTCCCTGCTCCCACCGCTCGCGAAGGCCTTCTTGGACGGCTTGAGGCGCCGGTCTTGGACGCTCGGTTGGGGAGAACCGGAGGTGTTCGCACGGCTTGAGGCCGCCTGGTCTCGACCTGTCCTTCGGGACCATGCAGACCAGACACCAGGGACCGTTCTTGGAGCCCCACAGAGTTTTCTTCAGACCCTATTGGCAGTGGTTTTCCCCCCCCCCTATAGTCGGTGGAACCTTCCACCCACCCATGATGATGATGGACCGGAGGACCACGGCCCCGACGTCCCCGACGTACAGATCCTCCATGGGATAGGAAGACTGACCTGCCCACAGACCCTCCATCAATTGAACCACCCCTGGGCCTGATCGGGTCTGATGGAATTTTGTTGGGATGCCACTCGGGTCCATTCCGGTCCACATCGGGGCGAATCAACGGCGCGGACGAAGGGTCCGTCATGGCGCAATCAGCAAGGGCATCTTGGTCAAAGCGCATCTTTGTATGGGTTTGACATGAGGCCATACAACACCCATGATCTTGACCTCGCAGTCGTGCAAGCTCGAAGCAAAAGGCCATAGGAAGACACGGAGATACATCTCCCCATTGCCAGGTGTTGAACTTTCACTTAGCGGTGCTAAACGCGGGTACTAAAAGCCGCCACCTTTTGCCCTCCGTTCCGCGCTCTACTCTTCCCCGCTCGCTGCGGCTCGCCTTTCTGTGTTGAGGTCTGGTGTGAAGGCGGACGACCAGAACTTGTTGGTGAACATCTTCACCGTGCCCCAGTGCGATCGCGTGGAGGAGGGTGATGCCTTCATCCCTCCTGACCCGACGCTGGGTGCCGAGTGAGGCGAAGAGGTGGAGAAATGAGGCAAGAGTGCGAAGAACAGACGGTTCTAAAGTGGTCTCTGGATGTCTCTGGGTATTTCTGGATGGCAGACGTATATGCACTAAGTGCCAATCGTTTTGGATTTGGATCCGAAGGGCCAGTCGTGTGTGAAGAGGAACCGGACGGGGTAGGGATCGGAGTGGTTTTGTTGGGCCCTACTAGTACTTGAAAAGACGCCTCGTCGCGTTCCCCATGCGTTCCCCAACACGTCACACCACTTGCGTTGGAGTTGATGCACGTTCACTCGTTGGCCTTCTGGTTGCTCACAACCTTCCCCCTGGTTGCCTGTGGACCGTGGTCGCAGATTCCGAGTCGGCGCTGTTTTCGGAACACCAACCCTTGGCCCCAAAAATCGCAGGGTCCCGCAAGTTGCGAGAATAAAGAAGGCTCGTCACTTAGCCAGGATGATTTTAGTTTGAACTTTGGCCTGATCCCACTGCCATCTGGATGACGTAGCTGTCACGAAGGAGGAAAAAGGTTGTGGGAACGTGGAAGTGCTCGTTGGTAGCGGGCGTGTGGCCAATCATCCAGTTGGCTGCCAGGGTTCTGCTTCCACAGCTTGGGCCGTCCTCCTACCCAGTAGCAGTCGGAAAAAATAGAATCACCACTAAATCGGTTAAGACTTACCCTTCCATCCACCTGGCTTTGAAGCTGGGCCAATGCCGAATGCTCAGACCGCCCAAATGCTCCTTGGGATGCGAAGCCCTCGAACGGAGTGGTACACCAACGCTGCGTCGCACAGAGACGGTCTCTGTTCGTTTGGATGTTTGGGGCGCATTCTGCATTAGACCCGCACGACGCGACTGGTCTCGCCAGTCGTGTACATCGTATCATCAGTGATCGCCACAACGGGACCAGTTGATGCCCAAACTCGCCGACCAGTGGTGTTTCAGCTAGGTCAACAGAATTGCTGAGACGGGGACTTCCCGCGCCACTCGGTCGTCTTCGGGGACGTCTTCCACCACCTTCGCCCCAAACGTGACGTCGCCTCCCAAGGAATCTGGAATATGTCCAGAAGCTGCGCAACATCGTCGGAGAGGAGCCGCGATGGTCCGGTGAGTCCGGTGGTCCGTTTTGGATGGGGTGTTTCGATATATCTCTTTGACCTGGGGTGAAGTAGGGAGGGTCTGATTTTGGATGCTAGTGGTTCAGTTGTACTCCAGTGCGGATCTGATGGTTAATACATGTTAATACAAATATATCTTTGGTTTAGGTTGTATTTGGTGACGTGGAGATTGCACAAAAACCAGAGAAACGTATATACCAGAAGTTCCCAGGACTGTAGCCTTCACATGTTGTACCCATCAATACTATAGTATATACAAACAGACATAGGTCCCCCTGTTTGATCTTTCAATATGAGTTCTTTGTCTTCCCCATAGAGAGCCACTTTCGCAAAATGTTGGATTTGAAAGGTACTGGCGTTTTTGATACACTGATCAAATTCAACACCTTTAGACCTCAGCGCATGATGTCTTGAAGAAAGAAGTCACGGCACACTTCCATAGTTTCTGCCTCAAGCGCTGTGCTGGCTGTTTAGGAAACGATGAACCGCAAGGGACAGCTTCGCCCATTTTTGGGGGGAGACTCCAAGACAGTCTGCGTCGTTTACCTCCATAACGACCGACCACGGCCAAAACCGTCCAGTTGCGAGTACGCGGCGCGCCGCGAGAGGAGCGTAGCATCCGCGAGCGCCGCAAGACGCGCTTCGCCGACAAGTGCCCCGTTCGCCCAGCCCCGGTGGGAGTTCGAGTGGACCGAAACATGCGAAAAGATGGGACCAAAGGGACCGAATCCAGGGAAGATCCCAGAGTTGGGTGCTGGCATGGCACGGCCTGGAATGAAAAAAGAGGTAGGTGGTCATTTTGGTCAGTGATCTTCCTTTTTCCAAGTTTCAGGTGCCACTGGGCACTGGGGAGTTTTTCTTTTTCTTGGTCCAGAGACTCCTGGATCGCCTTGCGATGTGTCACGCTTCTCCAGGAGGATTGGTCGTTCGGACCGGGTCGCGTCGCGTGTCGCGTGCACCGCGACGTGTCCGTCGCTGAGGAACTTCGTGATGGCCAATCCAGGCTCTGACTTCCCGCGCTCCTGGACCTCGCGATTCCAAGTGGAGCTGGAAGGGTGACTGGGCAGCAGCTCAGGTGTCTCAGATCAGGTGAAGACGGGTGAGATCAGGTGAAGACGACTTGAAAGGAAGGTGAAAGAAACAAGTTCGAAACAAGTCACCCAATAGACATCAGGTTTCTTTGGCCTTGATCAACGGACGTGACATCATCCTTCGCATGTTCCCTACTGCAGGCGCATCTCCTACACGGCCCCCACCAAGTTCGGCTTGGTGAAGCTCGATGTGGAAGAGAGCTTCAAGCGAAGCTTGCTACAGGAGACGGAAAGATCACCATCGGGATACTCAGACGTCTTCCTGTGGGCCCCAACAGGCGACCTCCTCGCGTACCGGTCTCCGCGGCCGGTGCGCCCGACCGGGTGCCCGGGCTGCGTGGGCTGCGTCCCTGGTCGTCGGTTCATTGACGGTGATGGGAGATGAGTTAGATCATGTTAGATCCATTCTTTTGAGGAAAATGACCCAGAAAAAGAGCAAATATCTCTTCCAGTCCGGATGGTCTGGGGTAGATCACACTCTCGCCGGGTAGTTTTGGGATCGGTCGGGTGAAGAGAAGTGGTGGATGAACACCAGGAACAGGTGGAAAGCTATCTTTGAGGCACGGTGCAGAAACCGCCGATCGCAGCAGATCGTTCTCCGCTTTGTTCGCCCTCCAGGAGGTCATGCCCAATGCTGTGCCAGAGTTGCTGGAACGGTCCTGTGGGGTTTGTGAAACCAGCGACCGTAGCGATACCGAGCGATGAAACCAGCGAGCAAGTAGGGGGAGCGTCCAAAAATGTCCAAAATCGTAGGGGGCCACCTGTTTCAACCCTGGGGTTGGCCCTAAAAACTCGGAGGAGATGGGAGCGGCCATTGTTTTGCCCTGTGACCTTCCAAGACTGTCAAAAGGACATGTGTAACAGCGTAACACCAATACGAACGAAGCCCGTTTGGCCCCTTCATCATTTTTCGTTCACTTCCAGGTGGGTGCGCTTGACTGCTCATAAGCGCTTGAAATGAAAGGACATGACATGACTTCCAATGAGGGCACGAACCGAACGAACCGTCGTTTGGACTGCTCTTCTCACCGCCGGTCTTCGGGTTCTTCTAGTCTTCGATCTGGATCCCTTGGCACCAGTGGACCGAAATGGGTGCGGGAAAGCATCACCAGGCTGGTACTGCGCATGTCGCAGTTTTTTCCTTTCCCATGCAGGTCAGTGATACATGTAGATAGGTCAGTGTCAGGTCGTTTTTAATTGGTGTTTAGAATTCTGAGCGACCAGAATTCTGAACCCCGCACTCATGCACGATGGTTCGACCTATGATTTAGTCCAGGACAACCATTCCCCCAAGTGTGTGCCCATTGAAAAAGCTTCATTGGAAAAGCGACGATCTGAGGATCCACCAGGGTCTCGGCACACCCACATAGGGGCCTCTGAACAGCAAGGATTCGGGGATTCCAGAAGTTTGTGCGAGAAGACCTTCTCGCTGCGGCACAGAAATTGGTTGAGTAGATCACGGGATGTTTCAAGAGCTGCTTGAGGGTCCCCCTGTCTTCCAGAGTAGGACTTACTGAGTACTTCAAGACGTCCAAGAGCAGACAGGTGATGATAGGTGTGATGGGTTTTGAGATTTTTCTGTTTCGGAGCACCAAAACGTCCCCTCCTCTGGAAAGATTCGTTCTTCTTCCGTTCTCACACTGGGACCTCAGCAAGGCTGACCCCAAAAAGCACCGCACCGGTCCAAACCAACCACCCCGGTCCAAAAGACACGCCCCTTGAGCCGAACCTCGGTGGCGACCGACGATCGCTCGAGGTTTCAACAGACCACGGAGGATGGCATCATCTTCCGGATTTACAAACTGGGAAGCCTGGAGGCGGGTCGAGTCGGTCCACTCGGGTCCACCAGGTCCATGGTGTGTGTGGGAGCCATGCGCGGTCGCGCGCGTGGGAGCCATGCGCAAGACACTGCTTCGGGAGCTGTTTGTGTTTCCTTGTTAAAATTCATGGTCCAATTTGGTCAGTCCAATATCCACTGTTTACTGTATACACTTGTTTTAGGATTTCTTTGAACCTCAGGCGGGTGGTTGGGATCATGTTCTATAATGATCGATGCCTCTGACTGAAGCAACCAAGCAAGCTCGAAGGATCATTCCAGCTAGGAGCGATGCGCGATGACCATTTTCCTTTGGGTGGTGGTGTCCGATAGTGTTCAGAGCCTTTACCTTTTACCTGGGATGATTGAACCCACTGACTACCATGTTTCAAGCGAGTCGAATCCACCTGATAATCAATCCTGCTCTATGAACCGGTGGAAAGCTCCACTTCCATGACTATTTTGTGTAAAGCTTTGGGCACCTCATGGGACGAGGTCCCTCATTCTGGTCGTCACCGCAGTTCTGGTCGTCACTTTTCGGCCCCTGAAACATCGGGGGTTACGGCTTGAGGCTTCTGAATGAGCATGTTGGATGGGAGCACAAGCACTTCGCTTCATTTGGATCGTCCGCGGTTGGACGGTTTTGGTTTTCTTGTTTGGAGAAGCCTGGCCTGTGAGGAATTGGCAAATCCAAGGAGTGGTCTTTTGGTCTAAACCCGCGTTGAGTGGGAAGCTTCGGGAAGCTGGACCCCTCGTCATGCGTGAGCTTCACCCGAGTTGGTCTGCCCAGAAGTCCTATCTGGTCGAAGAACGCAACGTTCATGGCCACCTCCCAACATGGCTTTTGTGTCAAAACCAGGATACCTTGGTTGAACCTACCGACGTTGTGAAAACGGGTTCAGGGTTCAGCAAACCTCCAGCTTGGCGCACCTCAACTGCCTCGCGACCGATCCAGCAGGTGCGAACAATCCAAGAGCCAGAGGCCGAGGCGCGTGGGTGGACCAGCCACCGGTTGGGCCCGGATCCAGGCAAGGGCTGGACGTCTGTACAAAGCAGCCTGGAAGGGAAGCCAGTTTTAGGTCCTGACGAAGAAAACGGGGGGGGGGGCATCAAGTGGAAGTACTTTGGAAGTTCGCTTCCCCTCAATTTGGCTCAGTTGAAGTTTTGTTTCTATCTTCAAGCACTTTACAAGGTTCAAAGACGTGCTGGTCTTAGCCTGAAGTGGCATGGCGAAACAGCTGACGTAGAACAGTTCCAGTTATAGGGATTTACAAGAGACGAAGGTGCAGGGCAAGCTGTGTGATGGGGCTTCGGAACTCCTGGAGCCCTCCGACTAGGGGGAGATTAGACACCGCTGAGTCACCGACGGCATTGACCGGGGACCGCGCCCAGGAACAGGTTCACCAGGTCTTCAGTGCCCGGGCAGCCTGCTGGAACTCTCAAGGCAGCAAGACAGAGGCAGGCTGCCGTGAGTTTATTTCTTTATTTGTTATATAATGTTACTATAATGTTATATAAATCCGTTTTTTTCTTTTTGCACGGGGTGCAGTTGAGGGCTCAAGATAGCCGGACTTAGTTTCGGAGCGACTTGCGGCCCCAGTCTTCTGGAGGAAGACGTCCTTTTTTGAGCCATAGGCATTCGCGGTGCGGTTGGTTCTGCTGGGCCTCGTAGCCCAAACTGGCATAGGCGCTTGCGATCGAGGAGATCACGAGCTCGGGCCTTCCTTCGACGGTTTCGGACTCGTACTGCTGCACGAGCAAAAAGAGTGCTCAAGGCTCTACGCCTCAAAGCACTCCTTGAGAGACACCACAGCCAGCCCAAATACTTGCTGGGAATCAGCATGTCATGGAAGGGCAGGTGGGGCTCGAATGCACGAGCAGAAGCCTGGAAAGGCTCATGGCCAAAGGAGAACAAGAAGCCGCAGGAAAAGTCCAAGAAGGAGAAGCCGGACAATCAAGTATTGAGGTACCACGACGGTACCAAAATCGATACTACAGTCGGTGGAAGTTCTACCTTGCAGGGCTCGTCTGCGCAATCTTCCTTGCTACAGGAGGAGAACAAAAAACTGCGGGAGGCCATCAAAGCCTTATCGCAGAAGGCCGATCTCTCGGAAGTGGAGTCAGCAGACGAAATCCGGAAGCTGGTCGAGACAGACCCCAGAGAGGTTCTGAGAGAGCAGCAAAAGGAGCTCAACAAGTTGAAGAAAGAGCTGACCAAGAAAGAGAAGATCGAGAGACAGTTAAAGGAGAAGGCGGAGAACCATGCCAGTTGGAAGGCTGGTATTCTGGAAGGAGTCAAGCGAGCCGATATCAAACATCTGGAAGAGATCAAGAAGCTGAAGGAGGAATTGGCACAAGTCGAAGACGACAAAGATGTCAAAGATGGGATGAGTGTAGAAGTTCCTCAGGGAAACGACAGTGCTATGGACTCGAAACTGGAAGATATGGACAGGAAGATGTACCAGATGGCTTCATATGTCGAGACAATGGAGCAACGGAACCAGGACCTGGCATATCAAGTTTCTATGTTGCTTACTGCTGTCAAGGGGAACACCGAAACACTACCTCCTCATTCTCCTCAGTATGTGAAGCCGCCAGCCAGAGCGGCGATGTCAAGTGTATCGGCCGAGAGAACCTCCAGAACTTCACGAGAAAGATCCAGATCGCCTTGTCGGATAGAAGAGTTGGGGACACCAGTAAATCCCTTGACGCAACAGGCTGTACAAGAAGCTCTGAATATTTTGCCTCCAGAACAACAGCAACATGTACTTGCAATTGTGGAGGCGGAACCAGAGAAGTTCCCTACAGTCGAGACCATTGTGATTCTGACCCAACAGATGTTAGCGCAGATGACCAAGGTGCCAGAAGAGGTCAAGATCGTGACAAGTGGACGAGGGCCTTTACAACCCTTCTGGAATTCCAGAGATCCTGTCAGAAGGTTGAATTCACATTCTGGCAAAGGACGAGCAAGGGCAATGGATGTAGAGGAGGACCTCGTTCCCACAGAGGGGACGTCATCTCCGCTGAATGCTATGACGTTATAAATGGTCAGTCTCACGGATCTTCACAAGGATGCGTCAACTTTAGAGGCAGCATTCTAGTTGAATTGTTCTCACTTTTTGACTTCATTTGGGCGGCATTCTCGCTTCGGGGTGGTTGTAGAAGCCTCTTCGAAGGTCTTCCTCTGAGAATGATGATGGAAGTCAATGAGAACGACATTCCTTTTGAAGCCTTGCTGGGATGGTTTCCGGGTGGTCCGTATCGTGACCTTTGGTATGGCTTTTCCTGGCGAGTGCATTTTGTTTGGCAGAAGCTCAACACAGATTTGGCTGGCACAGATTGGCAACATTTGAGTTTGCCATGCGGTCTTTCTGACATGAGTTCTTTGACAAACCTGATGCAGTATCTTTTTGTCACCACGATATTGTCTCCAATTCTGGCTTGCTTTGTGGTATGCTGGGTTGTTGAACTTCACGATATCTTTTCGCTTTGCCGATTTCATGGCTGGCAAAAGAGTAATGATAGAGTTTCCACGCACCTGCACTATCTGGCTTTTTGGAGTGGTGGGGTTTATACCATTCTGAATTTGGCCTTGACCTTTGAGGATGTGGAGACAAGGGAGAACACCACAGGTTTTGATGATTGGGGTGTGCGACTCCTTACGGCAGTACGTGACTCCTTTCTGTGTATTTTTGGTGCCATGCTTGCAGCTCTCATTTTGTCTCATGGATGGAGACAGTTCTGGCAAAGATGTTCTATCCCTTTGACCAGGGAGGCAGGATCCATCCATGTGAGGCTGCCAGGAAAGAAGTTTGGCAGACTTGGCCTTAGTGCTTTGATTATGTGTATGTGTATTGCTGCTGAAGATTACAGAGAGACAACACATAACATGGCCAATATCATGCCTCCGAATGGAATTGCGGATCCTTTTGAGCCTTGGGGGGACTCGCATTGCACTAAGCATCTTCTTGATGTTTTCGAAGGCCTTAGCTCTTGGAGTTTTCTTGAGACGCCTGGTGAAGAAGCACGCGAACTGGGGCTGTACGAGGAACCCAATCGAGCTTGTCAATTTTGTGCAATGGAGAGACCACAACGAGTCGCCACTGCCAATGCATTTTTGATTCACTCTGTACCGATGAGTTATGGTGAAGGAGGGAACAGGTGCCTAACAAGAGGGCTTGGTGGCTCATACCCTCTGACCTGTCCCTCCTATGTTTTTGATAAGGCCAAAGAGCCCTTCAGGAAGGTGCCCAGATTTGAGCCAAGGAGTACTGAACGAAAGGTCGCCATGAGGAGCATGAATGATGACATCATTTCACTGATGCAAAGCTCTTCGTGGAAATCTGGATCGAGCAGCTCTGGTTATGTCGCTCGGGGACATGAAAATGCACAGCGTACTGTACGACAGCTGGAGATCTCTTTGCCGGATTCCTTTTGGCAACAGATTGGTATGGTCCAAACTCAGTTTTCTGATGTACACTTGTATATTCATGGTCTCAAGGGCAGGCATATGGCAACACGGACTTTAACGGTCTATGGAAGGAAGAAAGGTATACTTCCAAGTTTACCTAGCCGCATTGAGTGGCTATGGCATGACCATTATGACCGAAGGGAGTCAGCTTTGCTGTATCTTGTGGAACCCCAGCCTATTAGTGCTGCTGCGAATGGACAAGTGCACTTGGTTCTTGATCTTTGGCCAAGTCTTCAGGGAACGCCAGTGCTCTCACAATGGACTATTGACGAGGAACCTGGATGTGCATTGCAATCGCACCGCTTGCAATCGCGTACGCCATTTGATGAAATTCTGATTGAGGGGGACTTGCCGAGAGAGATTGAGAACGGCATGAGGGTGGTTTATGCCCATCGAAGCCAGGAATATGGGCGACATGATGTCCTTCGTTTCCTTCAGGGAGCAAAATTTGATTTTGATCTCAAGACAAAGGAAGAATGTCTCAAGCAGGAGAACTTTGAAGGGCGGGTTGTCGCTGATTTTTCCATTGACCCTCTGCAAGACTCAACTTTCCTGATGCAAGTACGTCCCCTGATGGAGGATATGCTTGTTCGACACATCAGGCGGGTTCGAGGAGGCAATGTAAGGATAGATGTTTTGACGTGGATGCACCATGCGGAATTTATACAACAGTTGCAAAGGGATTTGCGTATCGTTACCCATAACCCTGACTTGCCACTGGGGCATAATATTCGCAGTCGCTGGGTTCATACCTTTGGACGCAGATCATGTTACATCTTTCCTGTTTGGCCTTCTCCTAGTAGTGGTAGGGGACCCGAGCCACACTACATTGTCACTACCTATACTGGACATGGATTAATACCTGCCCTGATAGAGTATGAGACGGCCCGAAGTTTTCGCCAAGCCAGCTTTGTCTTTCGTACTCACAATTGGCTATCTGTCCAGCAGGTCTTTGACCAGGTAAATCCACAGAACCAATGTCCGTGGGGGGCCGAGTGCACACTTCGGTGTGGAGATGCCTTCTATGAATGGCATCAATATGTCCCCCTGTATGAAGGAATTTTTCTCAGATTAATGGAGATTGAGAGAGACGATTCCACGGATGAAAGTGCGACGTGTGATAACAGTGAAGACTTGGAGCAGATGTCTAGTGTAGAGGCTGTCAGTTCGAGAGACGAGTCTTTTGAAGAAGAGCATGTTTCTTTTATGCAGAGTGGTGCTCTCAGTTGGCAGGAAGAATTCGACTTGGAGGAAGAATCCTTCCGGCAAGCATTAGCAGAGCTTCCCTCCACTTTGGGTGGGTCGAGGGATTTGTCAGCTTGCCTGATTCCTGCCAATGAAGGTATGACTGATCCATTTCGGTTTTTCCTGGATTCTCACTTTGCCTTACGGGGAGTTGCCATGCACACGCTCTACACTTGGGTTGTAACTGGTCAAGTTGCTGTTGTCGCTCGTGTTTGTGTAATGGATGTCCGACGGTCGGCCACTGAAACCGTTCTTGTGGAATGGAGGGACACCGAGCAGGACTGGCCTATTCTTTTCGCATTTGCTGAACCGCAGCCTGCTCCTTTGTCCCTAAGAAGCTACCCAATAGATGTTGTTGGTCTCCTTCGTCCGCAGCGAGCCAGGCAAGAAAAGGTATATCTTGTGGATATCCTGTATGTTGGCCAGCCCAGACGTGTTGCGGTTCTCTGCAAACTTGGAGATAGGCTTAGAGATCTTGTTAGTCGGGTGAGCTTAGGACATTACTGCCAGTTGGAAGGTGTCCGATGCTTTCTGACGTGGAATGATGAGGATGAGAGTAGGGTCTGGGAATATGAAGATCCTGTTGAGGAAAAGCATGCCAGTGCCTTTCAGCTCCATCTTCGCGGACAGCCTAGAAAGCACCACCGTGTTGGCACGCAGAGTTGTAGTTTTATGCAACTAGGGTCTGTCGTTCGTACCTCACCGTCCAGGTTGCACCAATATGCGCAGCAGTGGTTCCGAA